GTACAGAAAGCATCTCTTTATCTGGTTTTCTGCCTCAGTGAGTGATAGGTATTAGTTACAAGGTTTTTGACGTAATTTCATTACTAGGCCTTTTTCTTGATTATCTTGAATTTTAATTGGGGGGATTATTTTTTTTTGCTACCGATTGATACCTTCCTTGCAAAGTCATTTTGTAAGTTATAACAGAGAACTAGAATGTCAAAACAGGACTTTATTTCTTCCGTAGTCCATCTTTCATATAACAGGGAGGTCCAGGACTGCTGTAGTGCTGCTCTCCAAAAGTACAGTCAAGAAAGGAAAACATAATATCGTACTGTAAGCAGGAGTGCTCACATATATTCAATATTATGGAAAGTGGTATTGGTATGTTTGTTAGTTGATTTTTTTCTTCTTGATTCTAGCTGGTTTTCATTATATGCTTGAACCAAAGCATTTAAACATTTTTTACTTCCTTCTAGTTTATGAATTACCTTGGCATTCTCAATCATTTTATAGAACCTATGTATATGATTTTCTAAATTATTTTCCAATTGACTTTTGGCAATTTGTGTAATGGGAAATCAAGGTTCAGCCTGGGATGTTTTGGGGAGGAGAAAATCTCAATCACATACTTAAAAATTTTTCACACATGGTATGTATTCTGTGTCCAGCATGCTCTTTCCTTTAGCAATTTCATTATCAAACCACCCTTCTTTGGGCAGCTTTATTTTATAATTTCTATTTTGAGAGAACATAAAAATATTGGCCATTATTCTCAGCATAAAATCGTAAGTTAAAAAAAGGATTAATTGCTCAGGTCGTTTTGAAAGAAACTCTAGTTCACAACTCTTACAGACAATAGGACATACTGACTGACTAGGTGTATGGTCTCAGGACTGAGCCACAATAGATGACTAAAAATAAAGTATTTCCTATGCCTTTTTTATTCTACTATGACTGAGTAAAAAAATAAACCTTTAGAAAAATACTGGTTTTATTTTACCTCATGATTTCATATTGCCTTTGCTCTGCCACTTACCCATGTCTCTGAGTAGATCAGTAAAGGAAGATTTGCTAGAAAGTTCTCAGGACTTCTTTTTCTCTATGAGTTTCTTGCTACTCTTGAACAGCTGGATGCTACTTTGTTCGGTGTTGGGATGTTTAATCTGTTCTGGTTCAATTCTTGCTGACATTTTCTTGCAAAAGTCTTTGGTTCAAGGAAAGCAGTTCAATGTGCATTCTCCTTGTAGAAAGCTAAGGATCAAACATAGGTGACTATTTCAGAAGATGCTGTTATTGCTAAGGAGAATGGTATTATCCATCTCTTGAAAGTAACAGAATGAAAAATGAAAGCTATTTTGGTTCTCCTTTATTTTCAAAAAGGTTTTTCTCACTGTCTCTATTGGAGGATGACTACAGTTTGTGCATGGTTTTGACCAGAAAAAATGTTCTAGGCTTGTAACTGTAGGTGCCCTAAAGGAATTTCATAAATCTTTTACAGCCGTATTTTATATAATTCTGTGCTCTAGTTTTCATTTATTCTATATATTTAATTTTATGGAACATTTAGAAAAAAATAGTAAACTGATTTTGTCAGGAATATGAGAAGTAAAAAGGATACTCCTCTTGTAAATTCTGTTGTCATTTGTTTTTGTGCCACCTACCAAACAGATATACCTTATCTAATATATCTTAGGAAAAGGTAAAGGTATAGTCAGTATTCCTTTTTTATCCTTATTCTCATCTGTATTTTTTTTCCCTTGCCCTGTGATTCTTCATTGTCTCCTTGATAAATCTTGTACATGTTTCTGGAAATGAAGTAGCATTGTCTTTTTTTAATTTTTCAAACTGAAGATCTGAACTGTATAGATTCATTTTTGTTTTGACGGTCTTTGAGCTGCTGAATCAGTTAAACAAAAGATGGTTCAGTTTACTAAGGTCTACTCATTGAGAAGAGAATCTTCAAGTTGCCTCTGTATTGCATTGTTTATTTTGTACCTTTGTTTAGTGCTTCAATTTTCTGGAAGAATTCCCAGAATGTCAAATGTGTTGCCAGACTCTGTGTTTATTTTAGAAAGAGTTCTGGTTGGTGTTTTTTTATGGGGAAACCTAAAAGTGTGAGAGAGGCAGTGATTTCTTTTGCTAGAATTCATGGAGATTTGCATGGCTGGTTTTCTTTTATTTATTTATTTTAATTTTTCTTTTATCCATAGCATTTAGACTTGGATGGTCTTTTCCTTTTCTTGTTCTCAGTCTTAACAATTAAATATTGAAAATTTATCTAAAAATTTAGTGGTAATCTAGGGTTTCCTACAACTGAGAAAGAGGCTGAATTTGTTTATAACTTCAGATTTACACTGTGCTATTTTAGATTTGCCTCAGCCTTTTGATGCTTAGATCTCTTTTGGCTTTTATGTACTACTTGGAAATCAAAAAATGAATTATATTGCTGTGATTTTTCAAGAATTCAGAAAAGGTAACGAGAGAGAGGAAATAACAGTTTATATCTATAACTACAACTTGTCTAGTTTGCTACACTTAACAAGTGAGCCTTGGCTGGAATAATAATTTCAAAAAAATAGAGCATTATGTTTCAGGAATTATATATTCTTTATCTTTCTCTAGAAATATTTTCACATTATAGTAATTGTAATTGCAAGTCAGGGCAATTTTTATGATTGATTCCCATAGCCTAAATCTGTTGTAATCTGAGTATGGGTAAATCCCTGGCAACCAGATAATCTTTGAAAGGTTAAAACATCTCCCTCATAATTTCTAGTTGAAGATAAAGGCCCATTTTTGTAGATGACTTCATATAGTCAGTCTAGACAATCTAATTATCAAAAAACATTTTTTTCTTCTTTCCTCTTACTTACTGAAACCAATATGGTGCTTAAGATATGACAAATACTGACTCTGTGTAATCACAATCATATTCTCGTTAAAAGTACAAATGCCTCTCTTTTCCCAGTGCTTACACAAATGCCTGCCTCCATGGATGAAGGATTAATTCTCCTGCTCTTTGTGCTGTGTCTGCAGAGAGCATGAGTAACTTTGTACTATTGGCTTCTGTTCTGCTGTACTCTTAATGCTGTGAAAAATCATGTAGCAATAAATAAAATTTTGGGTTATTTTACTGAGTAAATTTTGTTATCTCTTCAGCTGAGAAGCAAGTCAATGCCAATAATATTTATGTAGCTAATATTTCTCTTTGAATTTCCTCACCTTCAAGCTCTCCACATGTACAGCTCACATTGACTGCAGGGAGTGTCCTATAAATTCAGAAGTTGTGAATTTTGGACATTTGATGAGTGGAATACACAACATATATGTCTTTTGCTATTTAAGTGAAATTATGAAAATGGGAAAGCAAAGTTTGTTTGAAACTAATCCTCCTGTTCCCTTTTTCTTCTGTTCTGAGCATTGCCACTTTGCTATCTCTAGAGGAGATAAATACCAAAACCTTCTGTTAAGTTTTCCAATTTTCACTCCAGTCCTGCAGCATTATTTTCTCCTGAAAATAATGTTAAGGTTTTTTCAGATTGTCATGCATGTTATTGTTTCACTCTCCAGCAGGGATTTCCTATTACTGTAATGTGCAGAATTTCAGTGAGGGAAGTCTGCAGAAGCAGGGAAATACCACAAAACATACTCTAGGATCAGCTTTGGATGCTGTGATATTATAATGCCTACAATTTTTCTGTGTGGTTACAACAAAGTGATTCTGATAATAAAATGGCAACATGATTCCCAATCCCATACCTGAAATGACTATGAAGTGACATTCAGAAGGCTTGCATATATAGTGGGGAGCTGAACAAAACTAGTCCAAAAGAAACACTAAGCACAGAGATGAACTCTTGCCCTTCTTGGCCACTTGATGCAGCTACCTTAGATTCTCTAGCTCAGGCTTAGAACTTAAGTTCATCTTCTGAGGATGATAACCTAAATAAACATTTAAAATTATAAAGTCATGCTTTACAGGGCATATGCCTGTTGTTGTTGCCTGTCATTTGCCTATTAAATAGCAAAGAGCATTTGTCAGGAACCAGGAAGCTGTAAATCTGAACCCAGTGATGGAGTTTGAATTTGCACTTGCAGTTTCCCAGAAATATACCTTAGTAAGTGGGTTAAAAGTCTAATTTGGGCTTAGGAATCCTCTTCCCTTTGTCTTGAGAATGAACTGCAATGCATCCTGAAATATGACACCTGGAAAGATGATGACAGCGTGTAAGAGGAAGACTGACTCTATCTGTAGAGATGTGACATCTGGCCTAAACCATGATATATTATGCCTGTATAGGTTTCTGGTCCAATAATTTTAATTTGGCTTTAAAAAATAAAGAGGGTGCTTCTCTGTGCCAGGTTGTCTTATGAAGACCAAATTACTGAACGGTATCTCCCTAAGGAAGATTTGCAAGAAAACACATTGCAAGAGAATAAAATGCTAATTACATTTCATTCCTTAGAGGAGCATTAGGTCTTTGAGAAGTGCATAAATATCTGCACTAGAAGATATTTTGCCTTACTTGGTGATTGGAGCAAGTAATTTATGCATGAAAGCTGTGCTATCTGCTGACTATTGTAATAGAAAAAGAAGTTGCTTTTTCTTTTGCAGAAATAATCATATTTAGTTACAAATCCTATGCCCAAAATATTTTAAAGTCTAGTCTTCTGAGAGAGCAGATTTTGTCTTTTCAATTATGAGATAGTAGAAGAGCAAAAGGTTACAAAATAAATGAGAAAAAGAAAAGATTACTTCTAAGATGCTTTTAGTTCTAGAACTATTCCTTAGCATGTACCAGTATGTTCAGAAATGCAGTTGTAGAATCTTCAGTATCAAATCCAGGTTTCATTATTCAGAACAAAAGTACATTTCAAATGCATGGACCTTGAAGAAAAATAGCCTATTAATATCAGGCAGCTTGGTACGTTTTGTATTGTATTTGGCATGCCACTTTGCAGAGTTGTCTCCTTGTTTGTGAAATTTCTTTTCTTCTCTTCAAAAATGTAATTTCCAGGTTGGATGAGTTAATTGAAATATTTCTCAAAGATAATGATCCTGATAGCTCTCTAGATGTTGGTGCTGACATGCGGAAGATCAAGTATTGCTTCGTTCACATGAAGGTATTTTTTTAAATGGGGATCAAAGTGCGGCTGGTACTCTGAAAATAACTTAAAGATATTCATGGTTAAAAAGTGTTAAAAGAAATTCAATGTAGTTGAGAGGTACTGGGAAAGGGTAAAACAATTGAACTTTAAATAGTGTGGAAGACTCATAGAAAACTTAAATTTAGATGGGCAAATTCAGCAGCGTTTTGTGGAAACATCAACAAGGATCCCAGTATGCAGTAAATTGTAAGAGACTTGAAGTTACTGGAATCAAGACAAGTTGTTTTCACATGGATAGATGTTCTCATCTGTATTTCCAGCATTACTGAGGCTCTATTTTGGACAAACTATGTTGACAGAGGTAAAAATGTAGGTTAAAAACCTTATATACCTTTACCTGTTGCACTAATTTGTCTCATGGGGTTGCAAGACCTTCTGAATCATTGAGAAAACAAGATACACTTGATAATTGTGAAATTATAGAAGATAATACTTTTCTGTATTTTGGGATATTGTCTTTTCAATATAATAGTGTATACATTCCTGATTTTAATTTACTATTTTTAAATAATTAGTTTTTAATTATATTTTTAATACTGTGATACTAGAGAACACTGGAGTTTGTGTAGAAAGAGTAAAGTAAATTCAACCCTTGCTAATGAAGATTAAAAAATACAATTTGTTTCATACTTGAGTCAATGGATATAATTTGACAGTCCACTGTGGCATGATTTTTTTCTGTCAAGACTATAGAAAGGTTTTACCTTTCTTTCTATAGCTAGACTCCCTCAGAATAGAATACAGAGCTGGACGGAAACTTAAAAGGGTGTGTATTTTTTGTTTCTCTTTATAGCAAATTATAAATCATCCAATGACTTCAGGTAAAAAACTGCTCTCAGAAGACATCTCTGAAGAAAAAAACAGTAATGAAGAACTGGAAAAACTGAAAGGACTATTGCAGCAAAGAGACAATGAAATCAGTATCCTTTGTGGGGGAAAAAGTACTATTTGGATTTGAGATGATCTTACAACCATTTTTCTTTGTGTGAGAGAGGCTATACTGTGTTAAAGGAAATACTCAATTCCCAGCTTTTATGTGACAGGACTTCTGCTTTGCACCTGCTTCTCTTTCCATTTTTACCAAAATCAAAATCCTGGATCCAAGCACGTCTTCGCTTTAGAATGATCCAACCAATAACCAAATATTGTGGATCAGGCGAGACCTAAAACATTCTCCTCAAGCAAATTAAACTACTTTTTAGAGGGGGAAACTGATGCTATATAAAGACCAATCTATTACCTTGCAAAGAATAGAATTTCCTGTGTGTCTTATTTTTAGCCAAATGAGGTGTTGCTTGGGGACTACTAGGCAATTTGCCCTTAGAACAAATATAAAACTTGTACTTTTTACATTTAAATTTAAATCTTTTTGCACATAAAAGCACTAAACTGTTCAGACGTGCTTTGTCCATTTCACTGCCTCACAGGAAACATGAGTAGCTGCACTGCAGCATGACAGGTGGAAGGTATTTTTAGCAGTTTGGCAGACCTGTGGGCTAACCACAGCCACTACAGCCCCAGCTTTGCGGCTACTCAGTGGGGGAAGTTTGTAATACAGCAGAGAAATTAAAATATGGGGTTGTTGAATGTAAAGATGACAGGGTTTTTCTCACAGTTATTAGTAGAGAGCAAACTCAGTTGCATTCTTTGTGCTCAACAATTCCAACTCAGTTTTATATGTCAAATGAGAATAGCATTTTTCATTGAGGTGTAGCATGTTACCTGTCTGAACTGAGGTGGTAGGAAAGCTTCCCCATTTCTGCTCTTTCACAGATGATAAGATTGTGTTTTTCCAAGGTGCAGTTTCAAATAAATTTAGCTACTACACTAACTCATTTCTTTTGAAAGAATTTTCTTTCAAAAACTTCTTCAGTTTTTTTTAATGTAAATTTTAATATCTGAATTCTCAGATACATTTCCTCCTGAAATGAATTACTTCATTAGCATGAGAAAAAAAGCAAAAGATCTCTATCAAATGCACTTCTGCCCAACAGAATTATACAGCTTTGTCCACAGAAGTGAAAGGAGGAAACTTGTGCAAATCCATGTAAGAGTTAAATAGAAAGAATATAGGAAGACTTTGAAGACAAGATGGATTTAGGGAGTCTGCAGTGGCTAAGTGACAGTGCATCATCACTAGAACATTAATAACATGTCTAATGTGATGAAGTGGTGGGAAGTATGGAAGCTGTTGAATAAACTATGAGTTCCCTCTTGCCTACAGTAGCTAGAAGCTATCATAAAAACTGAATTGGAAAGTGTTTTATTATTATTACTTAGTCTAGTTAATAATATTCCCCAAAGACTACTTAGAATTTCTGCTGTTCATTAAGAAGATTAATTAGGATTAAGAAGAGTAGCATATAAAAAACCAGATCAGAGGAACTTCAGTGTTGCTAATTGAATGTATGCAGGATTTCCATTATATGTCCTCTATGAGCTGTTAGGCAAAATGTATTTATATTTAATATACTTCCAGTAAATTCACAGTGTTATTGCAAGAAATTTCCTAAAGACTTTTTCTGAATTTTAGTGAACCTTTTGTGAAAAGCTTACAGATAGAATATACTTGCAAGGCTACCCGTAAATTAAGAGGTTTTTTTCTTTTGTTATCCTGTAATAAAAAAGTTTTTTTTATTACAGAATTTAAAAAATAAAAAGGGCCTACCCCAATGACAATAAGATCCTGTTTGTCTGTAAATGCTTTTATCAGGAGTTGATTGAATGGCATCAGCCATTGTGGTCGATGTGTGACTTTGTTATTGTTTTAGTAAGAACTAATCTGCTGTTTGGAAAAACTGAGGTGGATGAAAATAATCACAAAGAATATGTGCAACATTATTTTCACATTCACACATATGCTTCCATAATGTGAATTTTTTCACTTTGGAAAAAAATAAAAGGCTTATGGACAAACAATGATGATAGTCGCTTTAAAAAAAAAAAAGGGAAAGAAAAAAATTTTTCCTTAATATATTTTGCAGATATTCTGGTAACTATGCTGAAAAAAGAAAAAAAGAAAGCACGAGATACTCTTTCCCAGCTTAATGCCACCTCTGCTGGTTCTGCAGTCTTGGAGCAGTCTCCTTCTATGAGCTTGGAAGAAAGTCAGAGTCCATCTAGATGTTCTAGTCTGAAAGAGGCAAAAGTTTCCAGTTCTTCCATTCCCAGACTACCTTTTCCTTCCAGAGCAACAGGTTAGTGTAATTAATTAAGTGAACAGTTATTGCATCATTCCAGTATGATTTATAGTATATCCTTCAAATGTGAACCAAAACAAGGAAGCTTTATTTTTAGTGCTAGTCTTACTATGCTAATCCTATATCTACAAATGCAGGGTTTTAAATTTAAAGCCCTCTAAGATGCTGATGGCTTTTACAAATTTATGTAAATACTCTGTTGAACAGCTGTATGGAACCGTAGTATAAATTCAGTTGCAGGCCCTTGATTCTTTCAGTAAATTAACAGAAAAAAATGAGAGTTTTAGCATAATTCATTAAGAAATATAAGGAAATAATATTTTCCCCTGGAAGATCCATTTCAATTTATCCGTATAAGTGATATTACAGGATTTAAGTTTGTGTTTAAATCATTGTAGAAGCAACTCAAACAATTGAAATAATATTGACCAGTTAGCATGGATTGGTAGGGCAGTTTTTATAGTGGTTATTTGAAAAGTATTAAATGTGGATCATTGCAATTTTCTTTCCTTACATCATTTGAGCTAGTTATTTATGAAAATAGGTAACAATATTCTTGCAAGTTGTTAATTTCAAAATCCACATGAAAAAACTTCTAATAACTGTAGACAGATTTTTCTTGCATGGTTTCATGTTTTCTTCATTTTCTAGTTGAATTGTTGAAATAAGATTTTTTGGTGTCAGCAGGTTCTAGAAGTTCTTATGTTTTTGTTACTAAAGAACATACCTCATCCTAAATTATCACATGCTATATATTCATGATTTATATTTCTGTAAGCTTTTTATGCATTTTGGGGGGTGGCTGGCTGAAGAAGACTTTTGACGTGAAACTCAGACATGGCAGCTGGCAAGTAGAAACTTAGGTTTTGCTAGAGTACTAGTGGGAATGGTATTCTTAAACCACATAAAGTTGCCAATTATCCTCTAAAATTGCATTTTAATTGAACTAGTCAGTTTTCACACTTGTTATTTTGTTTCAGTTGCTCAGCTACTGAGGAATTCCCTTTGCTTTCTACTTTTTGTATTCACCATCCTTCTTCTCATTTTATAGGAAGAATTTATTGGATTTGGTGTCACAATACTATAAACTAAATATAATCATGTCCTTAAAACACATTTCCTTTTCATTACCTCAGAAATATGCCTGCAAATAATAGCTATATTTTTTCAACAAATTGCTAGTATAATTAGATATTTTATACAGTGGCATTTCTTCGATCTTTTAAAAAAAACCCTCATATGCATGAGAAAATTCTTAGTATTGATCAATGCATTCCCTTTTTACAAACATTGTGTGGGTACATTCATATGAGTTTTCTTTTAATGCAAAGTAAGAAGTTTGAGCATGTCAGCTCAAATTGACTAGGTTGTAGAACCTTATTGCCTGCACTCTGCACTGGCAAGGCCAGGTTGGATGGGGCCTGAGCAGCCTGATCTAGTGGAAGATGTCTCTGCTCTTGGCTGGGGGTTTGGTACTTTGTCATCATCAAGGTCCCTTGCAATCCAAACTGTTTTGTGATCCTTTGCTAAGTTTGGATGAGACATCATTCTCACTAAAGCACAGAGCCTCATTTTTCATCTATTGAAAGACTGAAAATTATGTTCATCACTATAAAATTATCAATTTCAAAATCTATCTAAGCTGTATATATATATGTATGCCATTTTGTCTATAGACTTTAAGAATTCACTAAAGATTGTAAAAGGGCTTGGGTCTGAGCCAAGGTCAACCTCTCAGGCTGAAGCTTTCATGTAGTATTAAAGCTATTCTTCATAATTTAAACCCTTTGCATCCTTTATCTTGTTTATGAAGATTTCAATTTACAGCACAAAGGCTTTATAGTATGTTAACTATTTGAAAAATTTTGCTTTTCTTTTTATTTAATTCTGTACTATCAAACCTGCTATCAGCCTGATTTATTGCATTATAACATCATATTTCTATTGTCTCTAATGTGTTTTTCATTTTCCTATCTAATTTCCTTATCCTGAAAGTTAAATTAGGAAATCAAAAGAAAATACAGGAAAAAAAATACTTAGTTTAACAAAATAGTTATTGGAACATCTATCTAATAATTTTTTTAAAAATATATATTTAGAACCATTCATTTATTTTGCAGTTGATTTATTGTGTAGCTTTACATTTGCTTGCCCAGAAACAGACCTTTACCATTCTGTGATAGAATAATATTCTTACCATTTTTTCCCATATGATCTAGGACCATATCTACATTGAAAGATATGTGTAACCAGGTTTCTTGTCTATCCTATCCAGACACTTCTTGAAGTAGGAGAAAGGCAGTAATACTATTTCACTGCTGAGCTTGACGTAATAATCTGTGATAACAGGAAATTTATCTTGATCTCATCACAGCAGTAAAACAATTCCTGGTCCAAATTTGTCCCTCAGCAGGCTGACTTTGAAGGTAAATGAGTAGTGACTCCAACAATAGTTAATGTTCTACAGGTACAGCTGTAATTTATCTCTTTTTAGGTCATCCTGCACTGAATGTGCATGGTCTTTTCAGAAGAAACTGAGTGAACATAAAAAATCTTCAAAGATTTGGCATCCTTCCTGTACACTCTGCCTTTTCCCCACCATGTGTATTCTGAAACTCTTAACAGAAGCCTTTAATCGCAGTACAGACTCAAAGATTAACAAGGCCTAACACCCAGATTTGATTTCCATGTAGGTTTTTGGGCACCATTATACAATATTATCAGCTGACAATACTAAGTTGTAAAGAGTTTATTCCATAGAGTCATAGAATTGCTTGGGTTATGTAAGGGTTCTTAAGAATCACCTAGTTTCAAACCCCCTGCCATGGCCAGGAATGCCACTCACTAGACCAGGCTGCTCAAGGCCCTATTCAAGCTGGCCTTGACCACTTCCAGGGGTGGGGAATCCACAACCTCTCTGGCCAACCTGTTCCAGTGCCTCAGCACCCTCTGAGCAAAGAATCTGTTCCTAACATGTATTCTAAACACACTGCCTTTCAGTTTAAAACCATTTATCCTGTCACTATCTGTCCATATAAAAAGTCCCTCTCCCTCCTTTTTATAAGCCTCTTTAGATAATGGAAGGACACAATGAGATCTCCCTGGATCCTTCTCTTCTCCATGCTGAGCAACCATAGCTGTCTTTGCCTGTGTCTGATTTAATGTTGAAAAGTACTTTTTCTGAACAGGTATGTCTTTAGCTGCTTGTTTGAATATTATATTTGAAATAATGTCACCAGTAAAATATTGTTGAACTTAAGATTTGATACCAGTGGTGACCTAATTAAGAACAGCTGCAATTAGACATGTGGATCATTGTTGTTTTGTATTGTGCTTTTTTCATTTTGTGTCAGAGTCTGGATTAGGCTGTACTTCTTGACAGCCACAGCAGAGAAATATGTAAATGCATGGTGTCCTAGTAATGCCCTAGCTTTCTCTGCTGGTTTTGGGTCACATAGCATTGAATTCTACATTAATTAAAAATTATACCAGTTTGCATGCTGTCAGATTTCTTTTTCTTGGATCCCAGAAGACTTCTTTTAGGAAGGACTGGATGGCAGGCAGGCTGCCTGGAAGCAGTGGAAGGCTGCCTGCTGCTGTCATTTTGTCAAGTCAGGTGGCAAAAAACAGTGAACAGACCAGAACTTGCTATCTTAGTGCAAGTGTTACACCATAAAAGGGGATAACTTGCTTTTTAATATCCATCCTCCATCACAGAGAGCTCTAATTTATAAATCCATAACCACATGAGGGAGAAGTGAGCAAAATAGTCTAGCATACAAGCCATTGTTATTATTGCATGATAATATCTTTCCTGAATCAGAAACAGACGTAACTAGCTATGAATTTAAATTATGTTTCAGATGATCATACCAGAAAACACAAAGATAAGTTATTGGCATAATAACCTGAGCATAACAAATGCTTCAACAATTTTGCTTTTAATATAATCATTTAGTTCATAATCATAAAGTATCCACTGCAGCTTTGTGTTAATAATTCATATCTTCTAGATATATAATTGTAGAACTACATGTAATCCTTCTTAGGAGTTGAGTCAATTGTTAATTAGTAGTTTCAGGATAAATCAGAGAATGAATGAGTCTATCAAAACAAGAAAAAATTCAGACTTCATCAGACAGTAGAGTGATAAATATTGTATTGTATTTTACTTTTATTGCATTATATCACTTCTGTACAGAGAAGTCCTATTTTGGAATCAGTTTCTGATTTCAATGATGGCCGCTTGCCTCTTAGGATAATTCTGTCAGCATAAAAGATGATATATGTATTATATAATTTTTTACCCTGATAGATTTGTTTTTCTCCTGAAATATAAACAGTTTAGTTACCAGAAAACAGTGTGACTATTGTGACATTTAAAGAATGCAGTGAATCTTAGTAAGAGGTTCAATATGCTGATGTATTTGAGAGTGATTATTTTGCTCTTACGAAAGATTTTGTTAGGATAATGTTTTGACCAGTTTGAGCCCTTTCGTTTTCTTTTCATTGAGAAGTTGTGAAGTTTTTTGAGAGTTTTGTGAAGAGTTTACCTTCTGTGTATCCCATTCATGATTTAAGATCACTTTTGCTTTACACCATGAAAACACCTATATGAAAAAGTGTTCTTGCTGAAAGGCTGACTAGCTGGCTTAGAAATGTAAGGTGAGAGATGGTTTCTGTAAACAGATTATGCTTATGAATAGCGTGAAAATAGTGATGCTAAGACACATACTGCTCATTTCTGAATGCTAAATATTTCTGTCATGTATTAAGACATTTTAAAATATTTATCTTGTGTATTTATGTAATAATTTGGGGAAAATGCTTCCTTCTCTTGTTGAAAATCTTTCTATTGTCTAAAAACAGAAAGTTCCCTAATGCAAAAGGCTGACTGAGGTTTTCAATCAGTGGTTTTCCATCCT